TCGGTCATCAAATCAAATATCATTTGCGGAGCTCAAACTGCACGTACAGTACCTCTGTTTGTCCCTACGTTGATACACCAACAGCAACGTACTCGAATATCAATATCCATTGATAAAAATCAAAGCTATCTTTCATAAACTTTGATAGCTTGGGTACGCTAAAAGTGATAGCGATGTTTACGGATAAATCAAGTCAAATCGATGTGAATCGTAAAAGGATTCCAGCTTTAGGTACATTCTTTTAGAAAGCATCAACATTATTCCAAGTGTTGAAGGCATTTTCTAATAATGATTTATGAACTCGTGATGCACGTTTCTACAGAATTTGCTGCGATTTGCTGTGTTGAAGGCAGGTGTCACCGTACGAATGATGAAGCTCGCAAAAGTAAGCCAAGGAAATATTTCATCAATGGCAATCCCATAATTCAATTTGCCTTAAGCTACAATCTCTACAAGCGCCACACCAGACATGGCTCCATGCTGTCTGCATTGCTGCATCGCTGCCCCAAACCAACGCCGACATATGTGGACCAGCGTACCATGCAGAAGTAGCTGCTGCTGTGCAGACACTCCACGTCAACTGCGCTAGCTGGCACGCCTACCTTGCCAGCGGAGGCGTCTGGAACTGCGATTCGACCTGTCAAGATGCCGTCGTCAACCTCGTGGATACTTTGCCTGACTGCACATATTCTTGACAGGTCGAATCGCAGTTCCAGACGCCTCCGCTGGCAAGGTAGGCGTGCCAGCTAGCGCAGTTGACGTGGAGTATCTGCACAGCAGCAGCTACTTCTGCATGGTACGCTGGTCCACATATGTCGGCGTTGGTTTGGGGCAGCGATGCACCACCAATGATTCGAGCGAGAAACTGAGAACTGGGACTTCGAGTGGCACCACAGTGTCAACGAGCGTTACAACCAAACTCTTAGTTGGTACGATGCTCATTGTTGGCATGTTGCAGATATAGTTGTGATACCAGCATACCAATTTTTGGTAAACTTTATGATGATGATCAACCGTGTCTATTTAACAATTAGTTAGTAGATCCCTGAAACTTCTTAAGCCATTGCCCTATAGAAGGATTTTTCCTATATCGTTCAGCTTCTGGTGTTGCCAATAGTCTTGGCGCTTCAATTGATATGTATTCGAAGCTGTCAAGGAGTTGGCGAAGGTGAATATCTTCTATCTTCGTTTCTACATTTCTGGTTTTCCGTAAAGAGACCGCACGTAGTTGCCGTAGTGTTCTTCGCCATATTTTGACCTTCCCTTCCAGTAGATTTTTAGTAAACTCTATCAACTCGAAGCTATCGAAACACGTAAGTAGACATTTTACCTATTCTCCGAAATTTATTTCAGTTCAGGGTTCGTGATATAACGTTCCGTTAACATTCAATATCCCGTCGACCGACACAAGACTTGCATTGCAAGAACAAAACTAATGAACATAGACGACATATCTCATCCATCTTTAAACTTTTAAGTCGAGATCATCGGAACAACCTACATATATTTAGTCGTTGGTTAACTAAACCTGCATTTTTTTAGTTTCGACGCGTGCTCTATCTTGAGCCGTCGCATCCCTCGACTCGTTACAGTTTGACTGCGTACTCTCAGTAATCCGTGTCAAACGAACTATATACGTCTAGTATGTACTAGGAACCACTTCGGTGGTCATCCGTAAAAATTGGTACGTCTAGTGTGTACTACATAACCTACATATATTTAGTCATGCGTTAAGTAAACCTGCATTTTTGGAGTTTGACTGCCTACTCTGAGTAATCCGTGTCGAACGAACTATAATACATCTAGTATGTACTACAGAACTACTTACGAAATTTTTCGCGACACTGAGTTTCAGAGCAACTGTATATTTTTAGTGAATTTCAATAAAAATCGCAACAATGCCCCAAGTGTGGATGAATTCTTGATCAGAATCAAGCTTGTGGAGATATGAATGCAAATTCTTGTACATGTACGTAAGGTGGTATCGTCAAAAGAAGATGAGGTGGCTTACACTTGCAAGCTAATGAATGAAAGTGGGGCTTCATCACCGTCTCACCGTCTCGAGAGTCTAATATTTCAATATCGTCGAAGTCCAGGTCATCGCTGCGAAGAGCTTCATCGAGTAGTAAACTCTCAAGCATGTGTTGAATCTCGAGACTATCATCCACTCCCGTTTCCATCGACAATTCTGTAAATTCGGCCACCATTCGTTTCATGGAGGCATCATTGGATCGAAAATGTATTGGTGTCAAACGAATACAGGCCTGCACGAGAGTAGTGGCATCATCCGTAGCATTTCTTGATGGAGTATGAACAATACACCATCCAGTTTCATCTTGAGTAACACCAGGAAAATCTCCACTCGCATCTGAAAGTACTCTCCAAACCACTACCATTCGAGATTCCTCAACGTATCGTTTTGCGACTTGGCAGTTGCGAATTTTAATTATTTTCCCTTTGTTCTGGACCGGAACGTAATATTTCACTCCAATTGAGTTCTCAGAATCTTGTAGATCATCGTACTGGTACCGTTGTTCTTGACGATGTGGAGCGGCTGCCAGAGTCCATACTGCGTCACAAGTCCGTTCATAAGTAAAAGGAACTATCCCCACCCAATTGTTTTCATAGTACTCTGTCTCCCCATCCAGCTTTCTTGTCGGTTTTCCAACGAAAGTCTTCCCTGGTGTTTGATTAAATCCCACCTCATTGAAAACCTCATCCAATTTCCCGTACAGAACAGACAAACTATCGAAAAACGTGTTGTAAAACATCGTATCTTTCATGTTGAGTGTCGATCTATTCCTCAGCACGTCTGGAATCGAAAGTTTTAGTTCGCCACCAAGTCTTCTCTTTAATGTATTTTGAAAATCTTGAATCACCACAGATTGAGATTGTACTGCTGAGTGAAGGAATTTTTGTAGAGAAATAGACTCCAATCGCTTTTCGTGTTGCCGCAAAGCAACAGCTTTCCACCCCGCTACAACTACAGCGTCGCTCGACCCAGTTTGCCTCTTGTCTTGATCCTTGCGTTGATTTAGCTTCTTCAGTATTTGACGTAACTGCGCTTCTTGATCTCGTAGTACCTTGAATTCAGTTTTTTGTCGCTTTCGATACGAAATGTTTCTTTGTCGAGCTTTCTCTAATGCATCACAATTGGATTTCCACCGCTTTACGTGCTTCGTGGTCACTAGATCTCTCGATTCCACGAATAAACAATTCGCATCCTGTTCAAGTTTAGTTTCTTCTACTTGTGACGTGACTTCATGGAAATCATCGTCTTCCTCGTACAATAGTTGGTCGATTGTCACCATTGATACGATTACAACAGTAATAAATGAGGTTATTGGCTTGGTACTACACTCGAACAAAGAGTTATAGCGCTTTCCGTGATCAACTTCTGATGACGCTTCAAGTGATGTTGCCACGAATATTTGAATAGTGAGGAGGTCTGCAACTTCTAGGCCTGAAACGTGGTGTGACTCATCATGAAGCACTTTACTGCATGCAAGCTAGCATTCCCGTTAGCTTGAGTTCGATCATTGTATTATCGTATTGACTGTAAGATTACGATACGGGCGATCACGGCATGCTTTTAATCGATCCTTTCTGATGAAAGCAGCTAGCATTACAATCGCGAATGTGTAAGTTTGCTCAGTACATCGTACTGTTTGGTCTGATCTCGTACCTTTGGGTCTGACCTCGTACATTTTGGTCTGACCCACTATACATGTATAATTCACTTTCACCAAAAAATAAAGGCTAACATTTACTCAAAATTTTCATTTTTTTATTTACTAAAAACATGAAGGATCAAATACAGTAACACCGAATAACACCTAAATGTTGTTTGGACTAAAATCATGAAGGATCAAATAACACCGAGCAACACCCAAATGTTGTTTGGAGACGAAGAAGTCGTTTCACTGTCAACCAGACACAAATTCCAAATAAAGGGATTCGACTTCCTCAGGGAGAATTAGCACCTCAGGGCGATCGAAAACTTTTTTGTATGGTTAGGTGTGATAACATACAAATATATTAATACGTTGGAATAGAGGCTACTATAGACGTGTTGTTTCAAGCAGAGTAAGCTGTAGTTTCTAATTGACTGACTTGATAACATCCATCTCTAACACTACAGACAAAATCACCGCTGCAATGGCGCAGCCGTGAACAAGTTCAGGAGTGAATTTAATATAGGCATGCAGCAATATATCTTCATTGTTGATAATTTATGACAATGAAGCGAAATTTATGATCCGAATATGCTTAAGAGTTTGAACCACACAACTTCACCACTCAACCACTTCGTCTCGGTCTTCTCCTTTATGTGTGTAGACCATGACCCTCCCCTCGGAACTCAAGAGTTCATTCACTGAAAACAGAGTACTTTCGAGACGTACATGGTTCCATGCAAGGGCTGAGCAAATAAGAAATGCGTGGCGTATGCATTCCACTCTGTAAATGAATTATGAAATAAAACGCGTAAGTATTACCAAAGTGGATTTATCGTTGTTGTTGAAAAAGCTATCTGAGTACGTCACGGTTGGATATTGCAAATTCTGCAGCGTTGAGTGCCTTGTAGAAACAGTGCCGAGGCTGACAATGGAATACCAACAGAGCTAATATCAACCAGAAGTACTACTCTCGCGAGATCCTTTCCGGGGAGCGATTTCGGTCAGAGCGTCGTCGGTGGTTGCCCTCGGCGTAATGCTAGCATCGATCGCCCCCAGTGTCTTGTCCTCACCCTTCATGCACTTCGTGATCGCGAGTGTCCATGGGGCCAGGAGGGCAGACCATTGTCCCAGGCGACCCTGTAATCCCGTCGACTTGAGCAGCCAGGCCAACGTAGAATGCCTCGTTAGGACCCAGATCTTGCGTCCTACTAGCAGATTGTAGTAAAGATCCAAGACCTCAGCAGTGCCAACACCTCCTTTTTCGGTCACATTGTAATTCAACTCGTTCATCTTCAAAGTGCGACTGGTGAACGCAACCGGATGGAAGATCCCGTCGTGTTCTTGTGTCAACGAAGCGGGTATCGCCCAATCGCTGGCATTTACAATGATTACCGGTGTTCTCATCTCGTCGAAGTGACGGAGGATTGGGGTGGTGACGATCTTGGTTTTCAGGGTGGTGAAGGCCTTATGTGCCCTGATCCACCTCTCGTTCTCTGATCCCGTCAACTGCGGTTCCGGTGGGTCGTGATCTCGAAGAATCGGGTCGTTCCGGCCCATAGTCTCCCTCAGATACGATCGTTTCTCCAGTTCTGCGAACTCCACCTCGCGTAATTCGTAGAGCACCGAGGCAAAGATAGCGTAATCTTTGATGAATCGGCTGTAGTAATTCAAACTACCCAGGAACGACTGCATATATCGAAGTGATCCGGGGAACGGTAAATCGGTTAGGGATTTCAGTTTTTGGGTTCGCCTCCAAAACTCCGATCGACACTCGGTGTCCCAGATATCCTACCTTATCCATGCCCCAGAAACTCTTGGCTACACTGATCGACAAATTCCACTTATCACAAGCTTCTAACAGATCTTCCACTCTTCGGTACATTTGATCCCACGATTCCGCTGCGATCATGATATCGTCGATGTATAATCTCCGTCCCACTACTGACTCGCGGTCAGGATCGTCCGCGATCCCTGTCTGGAACACATCCGTTGTAGCCCCGGCATCGCTAGATCGCGAGATCTTCAAAACTCCATACAGCGCGTTGTATACGAGGCGTTGATAAATCTGCGGAGCATTCTTTAGGCCAAAAGGCATGCGACTCCATTCGAATAATCCAAACAGGGTGATAAATGCTGTCAGGACCTAAACGCCGAATCCAAGCGCCGATACCCACCGTAGATCGAGACGAGGAACTATGGGTGATCAACTTTGACGGATCCGCTCG